GAGGCTATATTAGTTTGCAATCCCACTAGCAGGGTAAAAGTGTTCCCTTCTCTCCACATTCATGTCAATATCTGCAGCTTTAGGATTTTATGATGTGCGCTATTCTCACTGGGGTTAGGTGATTTCTCAGAGTGGTTTTGATTTGCATTTTTCTGATGAGTAGGGGCAGTGAGCATTTTTTCATGTGTTTGTTGGCCATTCATCTGTCATCATCAGGGAAGTTTCTGTTCAAGTGTCTCGACATGAGATGATTTGCTCTTTTCTTGTTGATTGAGTTCTTTGCAGATTCTAGTCATCAGCTGTTTGTCAGATTCATAGCATGAAAATCGCTTCTCCTGTTCTGAAGGTTGTCTGTTTGCTTTATCATAACCCTTAGCTGTACAGAAGCTTTTTAGTTTGATCATGTCCCATTTATTTATTTTTGGTTTTGCTGCAATTGCTAATGGGATCTTCTTCATAAATTCTTTTCCCAACCTGATAGCGTCAAGAGTTTTTCCCATACTTCTAGAATTTTTATTGTTTGCATCTTAAATTTAAATCTTTTTTTCTACTGAAAGTCAATTTTTGTCAGTGATGAGAGGTGTGGGGTCAGTTTCAGTCTTCTACATGTGGCTAACCAGTTCTCCCAGAACCGCTTATTAAATCGGAATTCTTTTCCCTATTGTACGGTTTTGTTTAGTTTATCAAAAATCAGATGGCGATATGTGACTGGGCTCATCTCTAGGTTCTCTATTCTATTCTGTAGATCTATATCCCTATTTTTGTGCCAGTATCACGCTGTTTTGATAACTATAGACTTGTAGTATAACCTAAAGTCTAGTAACATGATGCCTCCAGATTCATTTTTATTGCTTCAAATTGCATTAGCTATTCAGTTATTTTTTCTGGTTCCATATAAAATGAAGTTTTATTTATTCAAGTTCTTAAAAGTATGATGTTGGTGCTTCGACAGTGACTGCATTAAATCTGTAGATCGCTTTGGGTAGGTAGGGTGGACATTTTAACAATGTTGATTCTTCCCAGCCATCGGCATGGTGCGTTCTTCCATTTGTTAGCATCTTCTGTTATTATTTTTCTCAGGGTTTTGTAGTTCTCCTGACAGAGATCCTTCACATCCTTTGTTAGGTATATTCTCAGAGATTTCATTTTCTTTGAAGCTTCTGTGCAGAGTAATCTGTCTTTGATTTACTTCTCAGTTTGGCTGTTGTTGGCCTATTTGAAGGCTACTGATTTGTGGACATTAGTTTTGTATCCTGAGAGGCTACTTACTGTATTCCTTGATCACTTCTAGGAGCCTTGTGGTTGAGACCTGGGTTTTTCTGAATATATGATCATATTATCTGCAAAGAGTGAGAGTTTGACCTCCTCTGTCCCCATTTGAATATCCTGAATGTCTTTCTCCTGCCTGATTGTATAGTCTAGAACTTCTAGCACTATGTTGAATAGCAGTAGCGATAGTGGGCATCGTTGTCTGGTTACAGTTCTAAGTGGAACTGCTTTTCTTTTGTCTGTTTTATATACTTTCAACACTGAAAACAACTTGAGCTAGCAATGTGTAAATATTATAGATAAAGTACCTATCTCTGAAAAACATGATGTAAAATTGTATGAGTTTCTGTATCTGAGTATCAATAAATTGGGTGTATGCATACTTGTATGCAATTATTTTTTATATATTCCAGAAATAACAACAAAAAAATAAAAATAAGCAAAAGTATACTTTAGGAAATTGCTTCCATCAGGTGCATACTAGAGATCATTATCTCTGAACCTCCTCCATTGGTATACAGCCTATAATATGGTATAAAAGAATTATAGTATTTCTGGGAGGTGCTTGTAGCTCAGTGGATAGGGCGCCG